GCATCGGACTGTGAAGGGCATTTCACCTCAGCTCTTCCGTATCTCGGAGAACCACCAAGCAGAGATGAAGGAGGAATTGTTGGTCTCCTGAGCCTTGGGAGCTTCAGGGAAATCTTATTAAAATATCTATATGCAGTTCTTGCCTGGGTTTATTTTAAGGTCAGAACCAATACCAAGAGCACTTCTGGGTCCTGGTTTGTCCTAGAATCAGAAGAGAGCTGGAAGGGACCTTGGAGGTCGTCTAGTCCAGCCCCCTGCTCAAGCAGGAGACCCTATAACATTTCAGATAAGTGACTGTCAAGACTTCTTAAAAAACCTCCAGTGATGGAGTGCCCACGATTTCTGGGGGCAAGCTGTTCCACTGGTTAATTGTCCTCACTGTTAGGAAGTTTCTCCTTAGTTCCAGGTTGCTTCTCTCCTTGATTAGTTTCCACCCGTTGCTTCTTCTCCTGCCCTCAGGGGCTTTGGAGAAGAGGTTGACCCCCCCCCTCTTCTTTGGGGCAGCCCCTGAGATATTGGAAGGCTACTATCATGTCCCCCCAATTCTTTTTTTTCTTTAAACTAGACATACCCAAATCCTGCAGCCGTTCTTCCTATGTTTCAGCCTTCAGTCCCCTAATCACCTTTGTTGCTCTTCTCTGCACTCAGGCAAAAACCCTGAGCCACAAATATTCTCCTTTATTAATATCATTCTGTTTTGTCAGCTGTGAGAATTAGGTGTTCAGCGGAGTGATGGCACAAGGAAAAAAAACCTCTCCCTGGGTCCAGCTTTTGTTCTTTTGGCAGGCGGTGCCCTACGGTGCCATCCTGAAGGGAGGCGTTGAAACAGTTGATGTCCGGGACGTGAGGGGTCTGCAGAACTTTTCTCAGCCCTCCGTCTGACCCGTGCAATACAGGGATCTTCTCTGACTGCTGGTTGCAGTTATTCTTCCTGCAGTCTTAATTACGTACCATCTGCGCTTGCTGGAGTTTCCAAAGAGCGCTGGAGGACATTCCTCTTCTCCTCTTTAATATTTAACAATCCCCCCATTTTTTCTTTCTTTCTGTTTTCACTCTCCTAATGAGCCATCCTGGCTCCTCTTTATGTTGGCCTTACCAACGGGTGTTGTCTGCGTATCTTAAGACAGTTTATTGTGTATCTCAGATTGTCATCTTTTCCCTTCCTACCCCTCTTACGATAGATTCACCCAACAACATTAAACAGATACGAGGACCATTTCCCTGCTAATCTCACTCCCTTCTCAATTCTGAGAGTTTCCCCCGGCTGATTTTTTGTTTGTTTTTTCCTCACAGCTCCTTGTTGGTAGGAATAATCGGAGGTTTAGGTGCCCCTATTAGTCTTCCTTTATCCACAGTCTGTCACACTGCAGACAATCAGACCTCCAGTCAACAAAGCCCAAGATAAGCCCTACATGTATTTGGTCTCTCCATTCTCCATCCTCTCTTAAGCTATCTGATCTCCCGTCGCTCTGCCTCTTCTGCACGTATCCTGTTCATCTCCTCTTCCTTTCTCACTGCCTTCTTCTCTGAAATCTCCGGAGCAAAACATTCACGGCTTGCAGGAGGACCTGGTGCAACGATGGCTAATCTGCGTATCATCCTGTGTCCCCCTCCTTTGCTGGACATACACACCCCAATCTTTTCTGAGCTGTAAGGCTAGCTACTGAACACTGAATATTAAAATATTATTGATTTTTTTTAAAAAAAACTGCATTAGGCCAACAGGCAATGCAACACTGATTCAGTTTGATGGAGAAGAAATTGGAGTTCTGGCAGACTTATAGAATCACTGGGCTGGAAGGTGCCTTGGAGGTCATCTAGTCCAACCCCCGCCTAAGGCAGGAATCTTTTTAAAAGACTCCAGTGATGAAGCATCCACAACTTCTGAAGGCAACGTCTGTTCCACTGGTTAATTGTCCTCACTGTTAGGCAGTTTCTCCTTAATTCCAGGTTGCTTCTCTCCTTGATGAGTTCCCATCCACTGCTTCTCGTCCTGCCTTCTGGTGCTTTGGAGAATAAGTTGACTCCCTCTTCTTTGTAGGAGCCCCTCAAATACTAGAAGACTGCTATCATGTCTCCCTGGTCCTCCTTTTCTCTAGACTGGCTCAATCCTGCAATCATTCTTCGTATGTTTTAGCCTCCCACAACTTCTGGATGGCAAGCCGTTCTACTAATTAATTGTTCTCACTTTCAGGAAATTCCTCCTTATTTCCAGATTGGTTCACCCTCTAAGGAGATTCCACCGGTTGCTTCTTGTCCTGCCCTCATGTTCTTTGGGGAGTAAATGGACCCCTTCTTCTTTGTAGCAGCCCTTCAGATATTGGGGAAGGCTATCCTGTCTCCCCTAAGCCTTCTCTTCCTTAGGCCAAACATTCCCTTCACGGCTCATCGTATAATTTAGCCTCCATCCCCCTAATCACCTTTGTTGGTCTTCTTTGCACTCTTTCTAAGGTCTCAACCTCTTTCTTCTATTGTAATCAGCAGAGCTTTCTCTTTCTTAGGCTCATAAACCGCCAGGGAAGAGGACTATAGAAATATGCCTTCTCTTTGGGAGAAACACTAGGACAGACGAGGGCAAAATACTAGGCCCGTTCAATCATTCCACACTAGATAAATTAAACCCAGTGGCGTGCGTACATGTTCAGATATTGTGGGGATGTGTAGATCAGGAGCCTGGTGGCACCTTTTCCGACCAACACATGTTATTAAAAGACATCTGCTTTTGGGAATCCAATCCGTGGGCTGCAGCTAAGGAAAGCTGAGGCTTTTGAATGGCATGTTTTGGCTAGGAAAGGGGCTGCTGGAGCTGGACCCTTCCTGATATCTGGTCCTTATATAGACTGTCCCGGATCCCCTATAATGCAAAGAGGACTCAAAGAGAAGGGCAGCTTTGCAAAGGGGAAGGCAGTTGAGAAAGAAGACCAGGTGGCTAGAATTATCGTATCTCTGTTGACATAAGCATGATGTGAAGTTTCCGAAGGATGCCCTAAATGTCAGCTTGCAAAGCTTTCAAGTTGCCACATGAACTTACAAGGACTGGAGGAAGCTGTTAGTGACAGACAATCCTGTCAAAATAATCTCCGCCGGGTCACGAAAGCTCGGAAGCAGCCGAACGAGGGAAAACCACAACAATGGAGTAGCGTCGAGTCTTGTTTGTGGATGTCGCTTTGCCAGCAATTGAACTGTCTCTTCTCCGTCAGATTCCAACCGTTGAGTGGTTGTTTCTTCTCTGCCGGGCGCTTCTCCCTTTGACAGCCGGACTATCAGCTGTCATGCCTCATTTTCTGCCGGTTCCTAATATTCTTTCAGCACACAAATGCTTCAGTCTGATGACCGTCCTCTTTGGAAGGACTTCAGCAGAGCCATTCCCTGTTTAGAATAGAATAAAGCAGGAAGGGACCTTGGAGGTCTTCTAGTCCAGCCCCCTGCTCAAGCAGGAGACCCTACCCTAAATGACTGCCCGGTCTCTTCTTGAAACCTCCAGGGATGGAGCACCCACAGCTTCTGGAGGCAGCTTCTGTTCCCCTGGTAAATTGTCCTGACTGCCAGGAAGTTTCTCCTTAGTTCCAGGTTGCTTCTCTCCTTGGTTAGTTTCCATCCGTTGTTTCTTCTCCTGCCCTCAGGGGCTTTGGAGAATAGGATGATCCTGATCCCCTCTTCTCTGGGGCAGCCCCTCATGTATTGAAGATATTGTTGGGGATCCTTTTCTGCCTTACTCTTCATAATATTAATTATTCCTTCCCATTGGTTCTCTTTTGAGTAAGTTAAGTGTAAGTTAAGTAAAGTGGATACACCAATCTTATATTCTGACAGCTGGAAGCACTCCTCTTTTTAATTTTCAAAGTTCAACCTGTATAACAGGCATCAGTCTAGATGGGTGTTTCCAAAACCTGGATCTGGAAGCTTCCTGCTTGACTGGATTGTATCGCCCTGTTTTCTGCGGTGTTGTGCATCTGGTGATGTCCTGGTGTAGAGAGTGATGTTGTTTGAAGCTGGCACCGAGAATCTCTTGAGGGCTCCTTGGTAGCCTCTGAGCTTGGTCGTTTTCTTGCAGACGTTTCATTACCTAACTAGGTAACATCATCAGTGCTAATCCTATCACTAGCCCTGATGACGTTACCTAGTTTGGGTCATGAACCGTCTGCAAGAAAACAAGCAAGCTCAGAGAGCACCAACAGCCCCTCATGTCAACCCTGAGCTACAAATATTCTCCTTCATTAGAGAATTCCTGGTTTGATTCTCTTTGCAAAATGTTATTAGCCAACCTCCTACATGACTGCTTTCGCCCCAACCCAGATGGTCCTCCAGGGTCCTCTTCTTTCATTTCTCAATATTCGCACATTTGGGGTGCCACATTCTTCTTCCTGGGTGTTGCATTTAGTGCCTCTTTCAATTTTTCCATAGAATTCCTCGGGGTCTGCCACAGGGGTGAAATCTACTTACCTTCCTTACCGGTTCAGAAGTGCACGCCCCGCACATGCGTGTCACATGCGCACGCAGACCCTCTGCACATGCACAGAGGGTTAAAACCAGGAAGTTTTAATGACCCCCCGGGCCGGTGGGCGGAGCCTCATGCTGCCATTGCTACTGGTTCTCCGAATCTCCTGCCACAATCGCTACCGGATCACTCGATCCGGTCCGAACCGGGAGCATTTCACCCCTAGTGTGCCACCACACCCGACGAGGGCACAAATTCGTGTAACGCTGATGTTTGTGGGATATCCACTCGATTCCAACAGGCAGTGGATCCTGCCAGTGACCGTAGGTCGTGACATTTGAGCCCATGAATGAACAGGGCCAATTCTGGGAATTGAAGTCCACAAGTCTTAAGGTGGCCAACTTTGAAGAGCCCTGTTGTGGAAAACCAGTGGAGTGAGGGCTTCCCTTGGAAGGGATCTCCAGCATTTGAGGTTGTCATGGATGGGTTGAGTCTCCAGAGGGCTGAGAGATCCTCTTGAGACGCCCCCTTTCCCACAGTCCCTCTCCTCTTGCCCCCACAGGTGGAGCTCTCCGATGGGACCTCCCACATCATCACCGATGCCTACGCAGGGAAGGAGTACATCATCCAGGTGGCCGCCAAGGACAACGAGATCGGCACGTGGAGCGACTGGAGCGTAGCCATCCACGCCACACCCTGGACCGAGGAGCCCAAGCACCTCACCACCGAAGCCCAGGGAGCAGGTGAAGGGCCGGAGGAGCAGCCAGGCTTGCAATGGTGGTCGGATGGTGGGGAGGGGGAGGGACTCGTCTCTGAGTCGTGACGCACAAGGCAGCATCAGGCTACGCAAGTGGAACCTCCATGTTCAGAGGCAGTCTACCGCAATTCCACACCAGTGAGGCCACACTTGGAATCGTGCATCCAGTTCTGGTCACTGCAATACAAAAAAACATCCTGAGGCTCTGGAAAAAGTGCAGAGAAGTACAATTAAGTTGGTTAGGGGACTGGAGGTTAAAACATAGGAAGAATGTTTGGAAGAATTGGGTATGGCTCGTCTAGTGAAAAGAAGGACTAGGGGGGATGTGATAGCAGTCTTCCGATATCTCAGGGGCTGCCACAAAGAAGAGGGAGTCAAGCTGTTCTCCAAAGCACCTGAAGGCCGGACAAGAAGCAATGGGTGGAAGCTTGTTAAGGAGAAATCCAATGTTAACTAAGGGAAAAAATTCCTGATTGTGAGAACAATTATTCAATAGGACAGTTTGCAACCAAGCTCAGATAACCCCAAGTACTCTACAATTATCCTCCTCCTCCACCTCCTCCTCCTCCTCCCAGCAAAGCCACCTTCCTTCCAGAGCTGATGTTGGTACCTAGTTGTGTAATGAAATGTCTGCAAGAAAACAACCAAGCTCAGAGAGCACCAAGCACCTCACAGTCCTCCTCCTCCTCCTCTCCCTTCTAACACTGATGAAGTTACCTACTTCGATCATGAAAAGTCTTCAAGCAAACAGCCAAGCTCAGAGAGCACCAAGAGCCCTGAGCTGCAAATACTCTCTTCTATTGGTAGGGTTAGTTGTTTCCAATATGGACTCAGCCGGTTGGGGTTGAAGAGGAAGAGCAGAGGAACATGGAGAGCTTCAACGTAAACCTCTAGTTTCAGTGCTGTTATGACCCTCTCCAGGGTTTCTTCACAGAGCTGAGGAGGATTTGCCATGGGATGGTGTCAGTATTCGCCCATCGCTGTTCTCGGGAGCAATTCTGGGATTCAAAACATGGCTCAGTTTTTGTGAAGGGCCCTTTTTGTCTCTTCCCTTCCAGCTTCCTTTCTTGCAACTTCCACCTGTTTGATTTGGTATTTCTGGGAAGCACCAAAAAGACTTCCTGAAAGTGAGGGCAATTAAACAGGGGAACAACCTGCCTTCAGAAGTCATGGGTGCTCGAACACTGGAGAACTTTGAGAAGAGACTGGACAGCCACTTGTTTGAAATGGTATAGGATAGATGCATAGATACATAGATTAACAGAGTTGGAAGGGACCTTGTAGGTCATCTAGTCCAACCCCCCCCCCAAGCAGGAGACCCTACACCATTCCAGACAGATGGCCGTCCAGTCTCTTCTTGAAAGCCTCCAGAGATGAAGCTTCCACAACTTCTGTTCCACGGGTTGTTCCCAGTGTCAGGAAATTCCTCCTTATTTCCAGGTTGAATCTCTCCTTGTTCAGTTTCCATCCATTCTTCCTTGTCTGGCCTTTGGGTGCTTTGGAAAACAGCTTAACCCCTTTCCTCCTCTCTGGGGCAGCCCCTCAAATATTGGAAGATGCTCTCCTGTCTCCCCTGGTCCTTCTCTTCACTAGACCAGCCAGGCCCAGTTCCTGCAACCGTTCATCCAATGTTTTAGCCTCCAGGCCCCTCATCATCTCTGTTGCTCTTTTCTGCACTTCTACTTGAGCAGGGGGCTGGACTAGAAGACCTCCAAGGTCCCTGCATTCCATCTGATGCCTGCGTGCCCTTTGCAGGTTCACCTCTTGTCGCTTGCAGGGACATCTGCCGGGGTGCTGAGGGAGGGGGTGTCAAGATCTTGAGAAGGGATAGTACCATTTGATACTGCATTGGTGAGTCCACACCTGGAGTATTGTGTCCAGTTGAGTAGGGAGTTGGACTAGAAGACCTCCAAGGTCCCTTCCAACCCTATTATTCTGTGGTCTGGGTCCTAATCCAAGAACCCCCGTGCTTGGAGGGAGGCTCGGGAAATTTCTCCTAGCCAAGTGACGCCAGCAGAAGAGAAGGCCCGTGTCCCGCCTGCTCCAAACTGGAGGGCCAGCGAGGCCAGGGTGACATTTTTTATTCACACTGAAGGTTGAAAAGCAGATTCCCCCAAAGGCAAGAAGAGATCAGTGGTGGCCTTAGGGCAGTGTTTCTCAACCTTGGAAGCTTGAAGATGGGTGGACTTCAACTCCCAGAATCCCCTCCACCCATCTTCAAGCTTCCAAGGTTGAGAATCGCTGCCTTAGAGGGTTTTCAGGTGGGGCTTTGCTGCCCCCTGGTGGCCATTTGACCACACACAGCCTTTTCCGACTGCTATTTCCACCCTACATCTTTGTGAATTCAAGCGAGGCTTCCTCAGGCCCTTAAGTGCAGGAAGCCCGTTCAGGCAGAAGAGGAAAACACAACTTTAGGGCACTAAGTGAGGAAGGTTGTTTTGAAACAGATGCAAACCAGCCGTTAGCTGGGAGGGTATTGCCTTTTCCTTTACCGACAAGGGAGCCCATGATGGGAGGGGGTGGAAATAGCTGCTAATTAGTGCTCTCTCTCCTGTCTTTTCTTCGGCCTATTAATCAATGCACAGAAGCCTTTTTAAAGCCTCGTAGGATCTTTGTTAAAATTGTCCTTTCTTGGGCTGGATTCGCACAGTACCCTTTGGTCCACTCGGTTGCTCCTTGCTGTTGCTGTAGAACCAAATGCAGAACCCCAAAAGAAATCTAATTATGGGGTTGTTCAGCAGTGTACAGGACCCCAAAACAAATCTATTTATTGTTTATTTAGCAGTGTACAATAGAAGAATTCCCTCTAGAAAGTAATGGGAGGGCTATGTACAGACAAAAGGGTGCACTCATAGTAACAGAGTTGGAAGGGACCTTGGAGGTCTTCTAGTCCAGCCTCTGTTCAAGCAGAGGACCCTATACCATTTCTGACAAGGGGTTGCCCAGGCTCTCTTTGAAAGCCTCTAGTGATGAAGCACCCAGAACTTCTGAAGGAAAACCATTCCACTCATTTCTTAACAGAATAGCAGAGCTGGGAGGGACCTCGGAGGTCTCCCAGTCCAACCCCCTGCTCCAGCAGGAAACCGTATACAATTTGAGACAAATGGTTCTTAAAAACCTCCAGTGATGGAGCACCCACAACTTCTGGAGGCAAGTCCTTCCACTGGTTAATGGTCCTCACTGTCAGGAAGTTTCTCCTTAATTCCAGGTTGCTTCTCTCCTTGATTAGTTTCCATCTGTTGTTTCTTGTCCTGCCTTCAGGTGGTTTGGAGAATAATTTGACACACACACCCTCCTCTCTGTGGCAGCCCCTCAGATATTGGAAGACTGCTCTCATGTCACCCCTGGTCCTTCTTTTCTCTAGACTAGACATACCCAGTGTCACGTTTCTGTGATTTCATGTCAGCGCTGAAAGAGATCATAATTTGGAACGCTGACACCCAGTTCGTTGTAAGCCTCAAGTCCTAACACAATGCAGTAGTAACTTTGCAGCGCCACAATGCAGTACCAACTGAAGAGACGCCATATAAAAAATTAGACGTCCAATTGCAGACCCTGGCACAGTCTCAACCTTGAGGTTCCCAGACAATTCCTGGAAGGGAGCCCAAATCCCAGGACAGTGTGGTCATATTTCTGGGCCAGAAGGAAGATGCCCACCAAGACAAAAGGGGGCAGAACCAGAAGGCCCCCAATTGTCTTGCTGCCTTTGAGTCTTTGGGTAGAAGAGACTTAGGTGGTGCTCAGAGCTACAACAGACCGTTGACGTGGAGATGATGCCTTGTGGGGCTCCTAAGCTTGGAACTATTTTAGGCCCTGTTTGGGTCTGGGGTGTTGACGGAAAGGCTGCAGTCAGAAGGGCAGGGTAGGTAGGCACAGCAAAGTCTAAAACCCCAGTCAGCCCCACTGTTCAACACCCAGGCCTCCAGGATAAACCACAATGAGGACAGAGGTTTCCTTCCAAGGCTGCAAAATTCATCCTTGGTTGTTCTGCGTGGAGGTGGAGGTGTTGACTTGGGGTTGGGAGGCAAAAAAATCCCAAATTTGAACTTCAGATCCTGGAATGGAATAGAATGGAATGGAATGGAATAACTTTATTGTCACTTTGAATGTATATTAACTATACACTAAAATGAAATTTCATTGCCTACAGCTCTCAAAGGGTCACCACCTCCAATATACACTACATAAACATGACTGAATAAATAAATACAAAATTATGTATATACCCACATATATTCTATGACACGGAGAAACAACACAGTCTAGTTTGGATGTATGGCGAGATGTACATGGCGGATGTACATGGTGAGAAAAGCGAATTTTGCAAGTTTGCCAGATGGATGGCCTAGGGAACAAAGCTGTTACAGAATCTGAAAGTCCTGCTAGAAATACTTTGAAACCCCCTCCCGGAGGGGAGCCACAGAAACAGGCCATAGAGTGGGTGTGTGGAGTCTCTAACAATGCTTTGAGCTCTAAGCACATAGCGCTTATAAGCGGTATCCTGAATAAAGGGAAGCGAGCTTCCTATCATCTTCTCCACTGTCCTAACCACTCTCTGTAGGGACTTTCTATCTGAGGCATTGCAGCCACCAAACCAAACAGGGTTGCGGTTTGTTAAAACGCTCTCTGTCGTGCCTCTGTAAAAAAAAATAATCCTGGAAATGTATCCTCTTTTCCTTCCTGCAGAGACTACCACCAGCAGCACCTCCACATTCGAGGTACCCCCCACCACCAGGATCTATGACTCAGAGGAACAAAGCAGCGATGAAGCCGTGTCACCTTCTGTGGTCCCAGGTCTGGTCTTGGTGGCATCTGCCCTTCTCTTAATCTAGTGAGTATCTCATCTAACAAGAGTTTTCCCAGGGTGGGAAGAAGGTTCAAGGACAGACCGAGAAGGTCGGATGCAATGTCAGGAAGGAACCTGCGTGACATCCTTAGATCCTGCCACTGAAATTCAGAGTCAAAATGGCCGTCTTTTGATGGTGCCAGTTTTCAAATTGTGGTGGTGATGATGTCTACAACAGTCAAGATGAGGAGGGAAGGAGAGCTCTTTGAGAAGAACATCCTTCAAAAATAGATCCCCAAAGGAAAGATAATAAGTCCTTAGGAAGTGGAGCTTCTATTGTGAGGTCACCAACATCTTGACCTTCCTTCAGACCTTCCTGATAAAATGTCCTCCTCACCTATTGAAAGATGTCATCATGTCCTCTGGCAACCTTCCAGGCGACCTGTGTCCTCCCCCAGTCTTTCATGTGGTACCCATAACTGTTCTCCTTCCACTCTGAGAGGAACCCAAAGTAGGAGAACATCATAGGTGGTTTCCACAGCCTTTCTTCTTCAGGAGTCCCCTCTGGATCTGTCCCCATCGTGCTTTCCAAGGTCATCTCGGTGGCTTTCTTCTTCTCATCCCTTTATCCATGTGAGGAACTCCCATTGATGATCCTTCCTTCACCCAGCCCAGCCCCATCTGGAGGCCCCATGGCTGAATCTTCTCTCTTCGCAACGTTAAGCTTCTCTAATTGGGGGGAGCTCTTCATTTGGGGAGCTGTGATCCCCAAGGGCTGGAAAACTGCGCTTGGAGATCATGGAATCATCTCCTGGTGACTTCCAGATCTCTTGGGAGCCCTGCAGATGTAGCAGTGCTAGATCCACTGAGGCAGGGGCCTCCAACCTTAGTAACGTTGAGACTTGTGGACTTCATTTCCCAGAATCCCCAGAGTTGAAGTCCCCAAGTTGTAAAGTTGCCTGCGCTAAGGGGTTTCAGGGCATCAGGGAATAATGAAGGGTTAGGATTAGAGGGTCCCTAGGGCAGCTCCTGGGCTCTGGGGTCCTTTGTGGGCTGTTGCAGCTTGCGCTTGAATGCTGGAAGGACTCCTCAACCCATGTGCAGATGCTCTTGACTCTTGTTAGCTTCCAAATATTGTTGCTTTGAATTTTGATTGTCCTCACACTTTGGGGCTAGAGATTTCATTCTACAGATAGTCCTTGACTTAACAATCCTTCGTTTAATAACTGTTAAAAGTTACAACAGCACTAGAAACAGTGATTTATGACTGGTTTTCACACTTACGACCATTGCAGCATCCCATGGCCATGGGATCCAAATTCAGATGCTTGACAGCTGACTCATATTTATGACGGTCTCAGTGTCCCGGGGTCACGTGATCCCGTTTTATGTCCTTCTGACCAGCAAAGTCAATGCGGAAGCCGGATTCACTTAAAACCACGTGACTAACTTTAGAACCGCAGTGACTCACTTCTTTGGCCAGAAAGGTCACAAAATGGGGCAAAACTCACTTCACCAATGTCTCGCTTCACAGCAGAAATGTTGGACTCAATTGTGGTCATAAATCAAGGACTACCTGCCGTTTATTCTGGGTCGTATATAATCTTCTGGCAAAGTTTCTGTCCAGTTGTTGCTCAGACCAGAAATAACCACTGTTAAGACTCGCCCCCGAGAATAAGAATCGGAGTCCCTTTAAAAAAGGCCCATGTTCCCCAGCCTGGCACCGAGGTTGCCCGAGATACAGAGAAGGCCTCCTTTCCTCCTCTCTCCCTCCTTCCGGCCTCGGGGTCCCTTGCGAAGGCCCCCCACTCGCCTGCCCGACCGTCTGGTCCTTCCCTCTGTTTTGCGCCCAGTCTGAAGGTTGTGTCTGTTTCTCTCCATGGCTTCTTCGCTTCCTTGAAGGACGAGTCCTCGGAGAGCCAGGCGTCCCCGGATCCCCCCCTCCGCTCTCGCCCACCCACCACAACCTGCCCCGGATGGAGCCAAGGACCTCTTCGCGCCAGACGATGGCGGGTGGGACACGAGGAAGACGCCCTCCGGAGCGCGCCAGGGAGGAGCCCCCGGGCGTTGGGCTCGGATCATACAGCTAAGCCACCAAGCCAAAGATGCTTCCTTCGGCCGCCAAGCAGGACCCTCAAGCGTGTGGATGGGGCAGCTCAGAGGGCCACACGGAGCTGGGAGCTCTCCGCTTTTCGGAACTGTGAGAGGATGAAGCTCGGCGAGTCCTCGGCCGAGCAAAACGAGGAAATTTTGGGTAGGGACCCCCCCAGACCCCCTCTGGGAACCCCAAGACTTCCATATAACAGGTGGAGAGGGGGGGCCTTTTTCTGCCTGCACTGACATCATCGTCGCCGAAAGATGGGGGCTGTTCCTGGACTACCCCCATTGTCTCCCCCTCTTTGTAACGGAGTCCGTTCAGTTTATACAAGAATCACTGGCGTTTCTGTACTGCTCTTATTACCGGGGTGGGGGTGGGGGGTGGAGGGTGGGATCCACACGGGGAGGGGAGGTTCTGTAACTAAGCCGAGACACCCCACTGATCCCCCCCCCCCAGCTCATCCTTCTCCCCACAACCCCTGTTTTGTAACGCTCCCCTTCTCTCCTGCCCCAGACCCACTTCCGATCTCGCCCCTCTCCCTTATCGGGGTGTAGCATTTAAGACCATAAGCCCCTCTACACCCACCCACTCCCGAACGTACGCTGTCTTTGAACTTTTTATAGATGTACATAAACATTTTAAGACTCGACGTGCACACAAACACACACCCACACCCACACCGGAAAGGGGAGGGGGAGGGGAGCCCAGCAGCGAAGGCGCTCATTAAATGTGACCATTTCATTACAACGTTTGCGGAACGTGGTTGTGTGTCTGCTGCTTTCCAACGCCAGGAAGAGGGGCTGATGGGGGGTCCACAAAGGTCAGTATTTGGGCACAAGGAAGTTGGGAGCGGACGTGTCTGCCAGGTTAGGTCAAAAAAGTCAAGATGGCACCAATGGCAACGTGTTCCAGACACCGTCTATTTCTCATTGGTAACACAAGTCTCCAATATTTTGGGAAATAATGTGGGGTTTGTTTTTCTCTTGCTTAAGCTACCCTCGAGCCAAAGGGTGGAGATTGTGTTGCACTTACATGCCCTGTTGCTGATGGGGGCAGCCTCGAAGGGCCAGGGGCCTCCCGACCAGTTTCTCAACCTCGCATTTGAGACTTGAACCTGAAGTTGATCTGGAGAAGGAAGGCCGGTTGCATTTTTAGGTTCTCAATTTCCGGCTCCTGCTGCTTCTGGATTCCGGAGGTCACGTTTGGCAGCTGCCAGCTATTTCGATAAAAGAGAATATTTGGGGCTCAGGGTTGGACTTGATGTTCTCTGAGCTGGGTTGCTTTTATTACCCAACCGGGTAACATTAACAGTGCTGGAAGGGAGGGGGCTTTGCAGGCAGGAGGAGGGAGGAGGAGGATGGGACAGAGAGGAGGAGGAGGAAGCGGAGGAAGTAAGAGAGAGGAGGAGGAGGAGGGGGAAACTCTTGGATACTTGGTTTCGCCATCGTAGCTTGCTTGCAGACATTTCATGATCCAACTAGGGAACATCATCAGTGCTAGCAGGGAGCAGTGTACAAGAACTGAGTATCTTGTTAGCTTAAGCCAATGTTTCACAATCTTGGCCACTTGAAGATGGATGAACTTCAACTCCCAGAATTCCCCAGCCAGCCAAGGTCAATTCTCTGGGTCTTTCCCACGGCTGAGCTGATGACCCTCCCAGCTTCCGTCTGTCTCTCCTTGGCCGTTGGGGGAAAAGCCCCTCTGCCCCCAGCCCCAACCCCTCGCCTGCCTCATCTGCCCCTCTTCCCAGGCCACACAATCCTCAAACCTCCCCAACACAGGTGGGAAGGAGGGACAAAGTTTGGCAGACTTCACTCCCTTTGCAGGCAGGAAAATCTAGTTTAGCGCAGTTGGGCGCCAAACGATGATTCAAAGCTGTTTTAATCCTAATGTGACCATGAGATCCAGGCGCCTTCATGGGGACATTGCAGGGGGGCTAGGAGGAAGTGGGGGTAGCGTTAGCCTGACTCAAAGGGAGGGGTCCCTTCCTCTTTGGGCAGTCTTGTCTCCCCCTCCCCCCTCACCAGAAGCCCCCAGTTTTTTGTTTGTTTGTTTTTCAAATACAAATTTTTTCCCCTTTTTTTCCCCCTCCTCCCTAACCCCCCTCCCCCTCCCCTCCCCCTGTGACTTCTTCATAATAAAACCCAAATTCATAACAGATTATATAATACTTTACCATCCCCTTACTCCATCCCCATATACTGACCCTTTATTTCTAATAAAATTATCATATCCCCCTTATACTATACATTTCAAAATGACATTCTACTATAACATTATATAATAACTCCTAATTTAGCATAATAATAAATCAAATCTTTTATGTATATTAATCTAACATTTCAAAACAACCTTCTGCTATAAAACTATATAATAAATCCTAATTTAACATTTATTCAGTTCATAGTCTACCCATTTCCTTCACCCTCATCGTTATATCTCTTAACTCAAATCTTTTACATATATTCATATCTAAACATAATATCCCTTTTCTTAAACTAAACAATCAAACAATCAATCTTGTCTCCCCCTCCCCCCTCACCAGAAGCCCCCAGTTGTTGTTTTTTTTGTTTTTTGTTTTTTTTTTTGTTTTGTTTTGTTTTTTTTATTTGATTTATATGCCGCCCTTCTCCGGAGACTCAGTTTCTGCTCATTTCCCCCCCACACACACACACACACATATGACCAAGAACTTTCTCCAAGAACTTTGAGGCGTCACACAGGCTGCCTTTAAATACCCCGTTAATGGCTCCATCATTTATTAATATTTCATTCGCTCTGAAAACATCTGGGAATTAATTCTGCACTAATCATAAATTCACGTCCCAGAGCCCAAGTGATGGATGGCACCAGAGGCAGACGGCGGATCCTTGCAGAGACGAACCTGGCTGGTGGCAGCTTTGCCCTGCCTGGTGCCCAGCCCACACCCAACGCTCTTGAAATTCGAATCCAGGACTGGCGCCAGCGCCTGCCATCCAACTAAGGCCCTCACTCACCCAAGCGGGTCTCGAAAGGGCTGGCCGATGCCTATTTAGTTCTGAATCGTTTATACGTATAATACAGGTAGTCCTCGAGTTACGACGGTTCATTCAGTGACTGTTCGAAGTTTCAATGGCATTGAAAAAAATTATTTATTTATTATTTATTTATAACATTTGTATGCCGCCCCATCTCCAAGGACTCAGGGCGGCTCATAACAACGATCGACCAAGCGACTGTTCAAATCAAAAAATATACACAAAAATATGAAAAGTTTTTAAAAATTTAAAATATACTACCCCATCAGTCCAGGCTCGGGGACATAAATAGCCAGGTTTTCAATTCACGGCGGAAAGTGCGAAGGTCAGGGGCCAACCGGAGCCCCAAGAGAAGTTGATTCCAAAGGGTGGGCGCGGCCACAGAGACGGCTCTACCCCTGGGGGTCGCCAGCCGACATTGTCTAGCCGACGGCACCCTGAGTAGGCCCTCTCTGTGAGAACGTACGGGACGATGGGAAGCTGTTGCTGGTTGCAGGTGGTCCGACAAATAGCCTGGACCTAAGCCATGAAGGGCTTTATAGGTTAACACCAGCACCTTGAATCTCACCCGGAGGGCAACTGGCAACCAATGCAAGCCGCGCAGGAGTGGTGTAATATGGGAGTATCGGGTCCCTCCCGCAACAACCCGCGCGGCCGCATTCTGTACCAGCTGAAGCCTCTGGGTGGTCTTCACGGGCAGCCCCAGGTAGAGAGCATTGCAGTAGTCGATCTGGGAGGTGACCAGCGCATGAGTGACTGTGTGTAGGGCATCTCGGTCCAAGTATGGGCGCAACTGGTGCACCAGGCGAACCTGGGCAAATGCCCCCCTGGTCACAGCCATGATACGACCCTCCAAACTCAGCCGTGAATCCAAGATGACGCCCAAGTTGCACGCCCTGTCTACGGGGGGCAACACCTCACCCCCAATAGACAGTGTTGGAACTTCCCACTCGGCCCAAGATGCCGGTATCCACAGCCACTCGGTCTTGGCTGGGTTGAGTTGAAGCCTGTTACTCCCCATCCAGATCCGTACCGCTCCCAGGCACCGGGACCTCACGTCGAGGGCATCACTGAGCTGGTTCGGGGTGGATATAAAAAGCTGGGTATCATCAGCGTACTGATGATACTTCACCCCAAAACCACGGATGATCTCTCCCAGCGGCTTCATGTAAATGTTGAACAGAAGGGGTGAGAGGACCGACCCCTGGGGCACCCCACAAGTGAGAGGCCTCATGGCCAACCTCTGCCCCACCCCCGGTCAACACCGCTTGCGTACGACCCGAGATGTAGGAGGCGAACCACTGTAAAACTGTGCCACCCACTCCCAACCACTCGAGGCGTCGCAGCATGATACCATGGTCGATGGTATCAAAAGCCACTGAGAGATCTAATAGGACCAGGACCGAGGAATGACCCCTGTCCCGAGCCCTCCAGAGAGCATCCACCAACGCGACCAATGCCATCTCTGTGCTGTAACCGGGCCTGTAACCCAATTGGCATGGGTCTAGGTAATCTGCTTCATCCAGGGCCACCAGAAACTGACGTGCCACCACGCTCTCAACAACCTTCGTCAAAAAGCGAAGGTTGGAGACCGGACGAAAGTTGCCCAAAATGGTTGGATCCAAGGCAGGTTTCTTAAGGGGGGGCCTAACCACCGCCTCCTTCAAGGTGGCGGGAAAACTCCCTCCATCCAAGGATGCCGATATCACTGCCTGGATCCAACTGCGTGTCACCTCCCGAGCTGCATAAACCAGCCAGGAGGGACACAGGTCCAGTATGCAAGTGGTCGCACTCAACTTCCTCATGATCCTGTCCACTTCCTCCGGGGTAACAGGGTCAAACTCTTCCCAGATAACCAGACCCGCCGCCTCCCCACCGTCCGACCCTGCCCAGTCAGAGTCCAAGCCGTCCCGAATCTGAGCGATCTTGTCCCGCAGATGTTGACTAAACTCCTCGGCTCGCCCCCGCAAAGGGTCCTCCCCTGCCCTCTGATACAGGAGGGAGCGGGATACCCTAAACAGGACAGCCGGGCGATTTATCTGCGGACACGATGAGGGCGGAGAAGTATGTACGCTTCGCCGCCACCATCGCCTCCAGGTAAGACCGTGTGAACGATCTTAGCTGGGCTCGGTCATATTCGGAACTACTAGTCCTCCAACAGCTCTCTAGGCCTCTTCTCCTGCGCTTCATCCCCCGGAGCTCCTCAGTATACCAAGGGGCAAGCCGGGGTCTGCGCCGGGTCAGGGGCCTCAAAGGCATGACACGGTCGAGAGCCCCAGCGGCCACCCTATCCAAGGCCTCCACCAGGGTCTCGACTGGGGCGTGGGAGAGAGAGAGAGGGATCGTCCCAAGCTCCGTCTGGAACCTCTCCGGGTCCATCAGGAGCCTGGGGCAGAACCAGATGATCAGTTCCATATCCCAGCAAGGTGGGGTGGCATTCTGGAAGTCCAACCGGAGGAGATGATGGTCAGTCCATGACAGGGGAGAAACGACAAATACCCCCCCACCGAGCATAACACGCCACTGCTCCGAGATAAAAACAAGATCATGAGTCGGTCCCTGAATAATCTGAGTCAGGTCCATGGCCGCCATGGATGCCATGAACTCCCGAGCCACCCCCGCCCAAAAATGCTATCGATCATTTTTCACACAACGATTGGAGCATCCCCAGGGTCACGTGATCAAAATTGAGAGACTTGGGAGCTGTCTCGTATTTATGACGGTTGCAGTGAACTCATGTGATCC